GGTGTAGAGACTTGTAATAATTTCTGCTTTTCAGCTGAAATATTTTGCACTTGTTTTCTATGTAAAACTCCTTTTCTGATTGCTCCAATAGTTTGCTTCTTTAAATATCAATCCTTTTCACCAAAAACTCAAATACATATGATTTTTTTTGTTTTTCTTTACATTCTTTGTAATTAACATTTCATGCAACAGAATGTTTTCCAGAATGAACTTTTTAAGAAAAAAAAAAAAATACAAATAATTAGACTATTTTGTTCATACTGTTGTTCTCCTCTTTATTATCACATTCAAAACTCAAAGCTTTCTTCAACTAATATTTGTTGGAATTTCAAACCAAACACTTATTTAGTCCATGGGGATAGTCCCCAACGACCCATGGCCAAATGGATAACAGTATTGATTGGTTAATCCTAAAAGTGACATGACCCAAAAAGTTATGAGTTCAATCCCTGACTTCAGCAGTGCGAACAAAAAAAACCTATCAAGACAAATTAATTGACACTAAGACATCCAAAGGCATGAAACTGTAGACTAAATAAATGGTGCATGGCAAATGGTCAGGTCATAGCTAACAGCTTGTTTCAAGAAACCCAATATGCATACGGACATAGAGAAGCCAATGAGGAGATATGAGAAATGAAATTGACTATATAACTATCAAGAAGAGATTTAGAAATGCAGTCTTACATGGCAAAACATACTCAAATGATGACTGCAGGAACAGCCACCTTTTAATGAGTGAATCTATGAAGATTGAAGAGAGCCTACATGGCACACATATTGCAATACAATGGACAATGTTAAAAGCAGATACAATTGACAAAATGAGAATGGAAATTTGAAGTGAGACATATTAAGAGAAGCTTTAGTAATATTAACAATCGTGATCATCTCAAAGAAAACTAGACAAAGAAAAAAGCATGGACAATTTTAATGAGTGAACTTATGGAAATTGAAGAGGGCCAAGGCAGCACACATATGCAATACAATGGGACTTCTGATTGAACCAAATGTCAGAGAGAAATATATGGACAATGTTAAAAACAGATACAATTGACAAAATGAGAATGGAAATTTGAAGTGGGACATATTAAGAGAAATGCTAATAAGATTAGCAACTGAGATCATTCCAAAGAAAAATAGACAAAGAAAAAAAGAATGGATGATAGATGGAAAAAAAAAAACCAATGCCATGGTATAGCATAGAATATATGAGTCTGCACAAAGAAATTAGTAACAAATACAGGCAAGCTAAAGAGGAATGACTCAATGAAAATTGTGCATAAATAGAAAGCAGATATGTATAAAAAATAAGAGAACAGGACAAATGACATGCTCATCCACAGGATGTATGAAATTTAAAGATGAGACACTAATATTAGAGAAAGAAATACTTCAGAGATGGAATGAATATATCAGAGAATTCTTCCACAATAAAAGAGAACAATCAATAATACACAGAAATAACAAGGAATCTGAAGTGGAATCAGCAATGGCCAAATTGAAAAGAAATAATAACAGGACTAGATAGAATCATAAGAGAGATGCTAGCAGCTTTAGATGATTTTGGCATTGACAAGATTACAGACATAATATATGAAATATACAACTGTGATGATATACCCAAAGTAGATTCATATTCATAGCACTGCCTAAGAAGCCAGGAGCAAATGAATGTGAACTCCATCAGATAATCAACCTGACTTCTGAATTTTGAATAGAGTACACAACAGAATCAGACCAGAAATAGGACAAGAATAGTGTGAGTTCATTAAAGACACGGAAACAAGAAATGTAATATTTATGCTTAGAATTATATCAGGAGGAGCAATAATGCAAAAGGATGTATATCTATGTTTTTTAGATTATGCAAAAGTGTTTAATAAAGCACATCACAAAGAAATGCTAGATAATGATGACATATGCAGGAAGGATATTCGAATAACTCAGAACCTATACTAGCAGCAAACTGCCTGCCTATGAATAGAAAATGAATTCAGTAAATATATAAAAATAAAAAGGGATTTAAGACAAGGATGCATCTTCTCACCAGATGTTTTCAACCTATAAAGTGAAACCATACTGAGAGAATTACAAGTCCTACTGGGATTCATTATTGGTGGCCAAAATCTTAACATATGTAGATGACAGTGTTGATGGCAGCCACAAAAAGAAAACAAGAAATCCTAGAGAAGTTAGTGCAGGAAAGCCAGAAAAACTAAACAGCAATTGCATGGTTGTTAACAAAAGGGACAGCTCAAGATGCAAATTATAGATTGAAGATACCGAAATCAAACAGGTGCAACAAGTTAGATATCTAGGAAGTGCATTAACAGGACAGAAAGTGTGACATGGAAACTCAAAGGCACATTGGGATAGCAAAATATACCTTCTAAAAGCAAAGTATTAAGAAACAGGAAAATATTGTTAGAAACAAAGAAAATATTATTGAACAGTTATGTAATGTCAGTCCTTCTACATGGCAGTAAATGCTAGACAATCTCCTCACAGATGAAGCAACAGTTCTACAAAAGGATATTGAGAACACCACGAGTCAAACATGTAAGCAACAACAAAGTTCTAGAGACAATGGCAACAAAAAGGAAACTTATACTTAACATCAGAAAGAGAGTGTCGAGGTTTCTGGGATATATAATTAAGAAGGTGGACTTGGAAAATTTGATATTTCACACGACAAATGAAATGCACAACCTCCCGGGTGAGCTTGAGTCAGTGGATGGCAGAACAGGGTTTGAGGGAGATGGTAAAAAAAACAAAAGTTATTAAGAGCTACAAAGGACAGGAGATTGTGGAGAGCCATGATCACCAATGTCTTGAAGAAGATGTCACTCAGCCCAGCAATGTTATAATAAAAATTCATTTTGTATTTTTCCTTGGCATACTTAAATCAAGATTTGTAGTTATTTACAATAAAATTACTTTGATGTTATGATTACTAAATTTCATTTTAAATTGATTTCTATTTGTTTAAAATTGATTGAATATTTAGTTTATTTTCTTAATCTGATGATTGCAATTGTTATTTTTGCCGATTCAAGAGGGAAAATTTGACATCATAGCTGTGTAATTCAACCTTTGTTAAAAAGTGTTGTTAATTTTTTTTCTTTTTTGTGAGACCCAAATTTGTACTCTTATGTTATGATTATTTGAGTTATTATTTGATTATATGCAACCGAGTTTTTTGTCAATCAGTTAGTGGTCATTGTGATTTTTGCTGATTTAAGGGAAATTTTTAGTCTTATCTGTTTAATCAAACCTTTATTAAAAAAGGTGTTTTTCTTTGTAATTCCCAAATTTGTGGCCATATATTTGTTATGAAAATAAGAAAAATCATAAGAATTCACTTTTTAATTTATATTTTTTAAACAAGATTTTTCCTGGAAATATTGAAAAAAAAAAAAAAAAAAAAAAAAAAAAAAATGAAAGAAACAATTCAGTTTAGAATTGCCAAAAGAAATTTGCACTGTAGTTCATCAAACAGCAATATGACCTCATATCCCCCCAAAAAATTAACCCTCGGCTTGTACTAACTGAACAAAAGCCACTTATGTTATTAAAAATAGGTTTTTTAAATAAAATTTTTTTTTTTGCATAGTTAAATTGAGTAAAGATTATAGTAAATTTTTTTTAAACATGAAATTGCCTTGATGCTATGGATGATTTCATCTTTAACCGATATTTGTGTACAATATTAAAATTTTTATCAGACTGAAGTGCAATCTGATTTAGAAAAAAATAATTAAAAATAATTTAAAAAATATTGGGTAATTTGCAGTTTAAGCCCTGCCCACCAATTATAATTAAAATTTCCTGAAAATGTCCATTTTGGTGTAAATTTCTATGCTTATTTTGAAAACAACAATAAAAGTTTGTGGAAATGTAGTTTTGGATTCATTCATGTCGTGACTACACCATGGCAGCCTTTACTGGCATTGTTTACATGTTTGCCTCATGTAATCATGTGCAGAAGGTTCACTTGTCTTGAATATTGCGCATATTTATTACAACATTTCGGCCTTCTTCAGGTGGTTGGAATGTTGAACTGAACCCCTTATTTCATAGTTCTAGTTCCAAAAACTTGTCATTGCTTTTCTCAATAACGTAAACAAATTAAAGACCAAAGAAATTCAATAAAATATTCACTTTCTAAAGTGTATTTTTTTTTTTTTTTTGGTTATGCGCAATAATTTTATTGGCGATAATTCCAAAACAGTAGATTTCCGAAAACTTTTACTGCTATTTTCGAAATAAGCATGTACATTTATTACACGAACGAAACGGAAATTTTCAGAAAATTTTATTTACAATTGGTGTGCGGGGCTTAAACTACAAATTACATTAAAAAAAAAAACACAAAACAAAAAAAAATTTGAAATTTTTTCACGATAAAACTGTTTTTTATTAAGTTTGGGGGCATTTTTCATCATGCTATGCTGTTTGTTTTTTGGAGTGTGGTCATCGTGATTTTTAAAAAAAATTTTTACCGATTCAAGGGGGGGGGGAATGACTCCATCGCTTTTTTAGTTTAAAAAGTATTTTTTTTTTTTGCTTTCTTTGCGAGACGCAACTCTAAACCAGTGTTTATCGTGAAAAATAAAAAATAAAACAATAAATTTTTTTAAGAACTCGCTTTTTAAATAATATTTTTTTCGATAAGCGTTTCGTTAACGGTTAATACCTAGGAAACACTATTAAAATATTCCAAAATTCAGTTTAGAGGTGTGATATTTGGAATTTTTATTGTATTTCATTTGAATTTTAATTCAAAAATTTTTTAAAACTCAATAAAAAAAATGTTAAGTAACTGATGTTCAAGAAAATCACCGAAAGACATTTTTTTTTCTACAATAGTCACGAACGTAAACTAAACAAACAACAAAACACTTATCCTCTTAGTAGGCTTTTTAACCATTTGACAGATTTCATGGGTAAAAATTTGCAAGTAATCCCCCATTGATTGACCAATTAAAAAAATTGCATTATTCCTGATGTAAAAAAAAGAAAGAAAGAAGAAAGAAAGAAAAAGAAGAAGAAAGAAAAAAGAAGAAGCAAAAGAAGAAGAAAGAAGAAAGAAAAAAGAAGAAGCAAAAGAAGAAAAAGAAGAAGAAGAAGAAAAGAAGAAAGAAGAAAGAAGAAAAGAAAAGAAGAAAAAAGAAGAAAGAAGAAAGAAGAAGAAAAAGAAGAAAGAAGAAAAGAAGAAAGAAAGAAGAAAGAAGAAGAAAAAGAAAAAAGAAGAAAAAAGAAAAAGAAGAAGAAAAAAGAAGAAAAAGAAGAAAAAAGAAGAAAAAAAAGAAGAAGAAAAAAGAAGCAAAAGAAGAAGAAAAAAGAAGCAAAAGAAGAAGAAAAAGAAGCAAAAGAAGAAGAAAAAGAAGCAAAAGAAGAAGAAAAAGAAGCAAAAGAAGAAGAAAAAAAAGAAAAAAGAAGAAAAAGAAGCAAAAGAAGAAAAAGAAGCAAAAGAAGAAAAAAAGAAGAAAAGAAAAAGAAGAAGAAGAAAAAGAAGAAAAGAGAAAAAAAAGAAAAAAGCAAAAAAAGAAAAAAGAAAAAAGAAGAAAAAGAAGAAAAAGAAGCAAAAGAAGAAAAAGAAGCAAAAGAAGAAGAAAAAAGAAGAAAAAGAAGCAAAAGAAGAAGAAAGAAGAAGAAAAAGAAGCAAAAGAAGAAGAAGAAAGAAGAAAAAGAAGCAAAAGAAAAAGAAGAAAGAAGAAGAAAAAGAAGCAAAAGAAGAAAAAGAAGCAAAAGCAAAAGAAGAAAAAAGCCTGATTATTACAAAATTAGCAATAAAAATTGTGGAAAGGCTTCCTTTTAGGAGATATTGCCAATCTTAGCTGGGTCCCAGGTGAAGACGACGCTCGGTATGGTGAGGGATTGACTTCTCAGGAACAGAAATCGAGCAGATGGCCAGGCTGTATCAGGGACCCAACTAAATTTGGCAATATCTCCAAAAAGATAGTCTTTCCTCAATTTTTAAAATAATCATGCTTTTTTTTATACCAGGAATAATGCTTCTTTTTTTTTTTTTTTTTAAAACTTGTTCACCTGGGAAATTTACCTGCAAATTTACAGTAACAAACTAAAAATGGTTTCCGATGACCGTCTTCTTTGACCAAATATTCTTGCATTAGATTTAAATTGCTTTTTCCAAAGTCTAGACATGTATCATCCATGAAATATTCCTGTGTATATTTCTTCGGAGATGTATTTAAATTCCAAATTTTACTTTAGTGGGGGAGAAAAAAAAAGAAAATAGAAAAACTCTCTAGAAACATCCCTTCGCATACAAAACAAGAAACATAATGCTTAGATTTGAATATTGTTTGATTCATTATTTTAAATTGCAACAGCAAACATCCTTGTTACTTTTCTGAATAAATATTCATAAATAATTCAATTAAAGAAGAGTTAGTTCTGTTTGTATGTCTGTTAAAAAAATACGGAACTTTTTTTTTAATGATTTCATGATTAAAAATTCCAATTTTATCTAAGTCGTTAAATGCACTCCAGACGTCAGTACCCAAACCTAATGGATTCGTTTTTGTATCGCTTCTAGAGTTTCTTTGGTTATGTCTCCGACCGTAGCGAAGAAAATATCCGACTTACCTCGTCAAACCAAGCGACATCGTGTCGCGTATAATACGTCGGAAGTGGAAGTACGCGCACGCGCCTTACCCTTATTTATATATGAAGAATGTCATGCAAATTTTTAGTCACATCTCAACCAATCACTGACTTCTCAACCTAGAAACAGACGCCACATGTAGCGGGTGAATTGGTAACACTAACAGTAAATATAGTTTTATTATTATTATTTTTATTATTTATTAAAAAAAGGCGTTAAAAATAGTTTGCAGTTTAGCACCCGCCCTCAGTTCGCATTAAAAATTTCCAGAATACTTATATTTATGTGTAATTGTACATACTTCATTCGAATCTGGCTTGATAAAATCCACCGTTTTGGAGTTATCGACAGTAAAATTTCGGATTCATTTGCGTCGCGACAGCAATTACTGGTGTTGTTTACATACATTTGCTGCGGAACAGCTATGAGTAATATTTACTAATCTTGATTATTGCGCACACTTGGACGTGTGTACGTAAATAGTTCTCTTACGCAGTAATTGAGACAAGTAAGATCAATAAAAAAAGCCCGTTAATTACATTCTTCCGCGTTTAGCTTTCCGCAGTGAATGTATGCAAACAACGACAGTAATGGCTGCCGCCAACGACGCGAATGAATCCAAATTTTTACTGTCGATATCTACAAAACAGCAGATTTTATCAAGCCAATTTCGAATGAAGCATGTACAATTACACATAAATGTAGGCATTTCGGAAATTTTTAATGCGAACTGAGCGCGGGTGTTAAACTGCAAATTAACCGTGTTGGTAGGGTGGGTGGTGGGGAACCACCACAGTAGAAACACGGCAGAGATAAAAAAATACTGCGGGATTAATAAAGCAATTCGGTTATATATATATATATATATATATATATATATACTTACTCACATGTTTAGACACGACTTGTAGAGCAAGGATATTTTTTGTACGTAAAAAAAATGTACAAATGTGGTACAAGATCAAAACGGATGATGGGGAAATCTGGTCTTCATCTCCCTTAAACTTAGCCACAATCACAGATCCAAACACGCCACAATAATCCTTACACTAAAACAACACATTCTTACTACAGCCACCGTAATAATTATTTTAGGTACCTCCACCAATTCGCGATACCTAACGTTTAAAAAAATTCATTTTTATAAACGAAAATTGAAAAAAAAACTTTCTTGAAGATTTCATTTTAGCCTTAATTAAAAGTTAAAGAATTAAATTTACTATTTCCAGTAAGCAAAATACTCTGGTGTATTTCAAAGAGAAATTATATGCATTCATTGGAATCGATTTTCTTCTTTTAAAAAAAAAATAGCTTATGAGTAATCTTTCATTGCAATGTAATTCTCTGTATTAAAAAAAATTTCCAAAAATAAAATATTCATTTCTGAAACTTTACTTGAGGAATTATAGCGCTGATGTAAGTATAATTAATCTGATTTTGTTATAGACAAGCGTATGGTTGCAAGAAAGAAATACGACAACAGCAGAAATAGATTTACGTCATTTATTTCAATAGGAACGTGTGGATTTGGGACAGCTACCTTGTGGTATAGTTCATAGGCCGGCTGAAAATCTGGGTTGATTTCTCATAGTAGTTATCGCTGGTTGGCGTGGCGCTACTGCTGCTGACTGCATCAGTAAAAAATCATAACTTTATTTGTATTTGCGATAGAAATAATTTGTAAAAAGGACTGTAAATCTATATTTAAGTTTTTATTGAAATTTTATTTAAGTTTCCACATGTCTTCCATCATTAGCAATAAAAGGGTAATACGATTTTGTAGTTCACGGAAAACATTTGCAAACAGATTTACAGTAATGCATGAAATCACATTAGTTATTTTAGTTATACTTAAAACTAGGTACATTAACCTTTATAACATTTTTTACAGATTATTTCTATCGCAAATACAAATAAAGTTATAAATTTTTTAAAGTGCACACGAACTTTATGGACACCCTGTCTATTGAATTTCGGAAGGTAATTTTTGGTTTATTTCGAAGCCATGACATTTTAAATACAAATGAGGGATGAGAATATGAGTCTAGTTAAAATGTAAATAACTAAAAACCATTTTAAGCTGAAATCGTTTTAAAAGAACAAACCTTTAACATTAACAATCTTCTATTTTTTGTGATAATTTGTACAAATTATCATTAAAAAAACAATTGTTGCTTTCAGAAATACGTCCATTTATCAAATTCAGAAAATCTTAAGAATAATGACTCTTCTTGTCAGATGTGTGCATTCAATGACAACAGCCAGCCACCGTCCTGTATTTCTGTTTGGCAAACCTATAGCCTTTTTGGTGTGTACAATCGAGAAATAAAGAAGCTGAACTTACCTTGACATAATCTTTGGCGTCATTGAGATTATACGAGTCGAAAAGCAGATTGACTGATCGCTGAGAATCAGGGGAGATAATTTTCCATGTACATTGTTGGTTATTAATGTAAAAACCGTCATTAGGGTTTTCATAGTTGAATCCTGGAGAACTGATAACACCAGATTCTGTTTCCAATTTCAAATTACATCCTGATTAAAAAAAACAAACAAACAAAAAACGTGTACATTTTCTTCAAAACGTCACCGGACAATGACTTAATTTCAATATTTTAAATGTTCTCTGGTTTCTTTATTACTTGCATCATGGGAAAATGAATTTCTTTTTCTTTTTTTATTATTCATTATTATTATATTATTTTATCAATTTTATTTCATTTTCTCATAGGATTCTTCTCCACATAAACAAACATTCAGAGGGGAACTGACACCCATTAGACATGGCACGTGAAACTAGAACAGGCTACCCCCAGTGAGCTAAATACAAGGTTCAGTTCGACATTCCAACCACCTGAAGAAGGCCGGAGCGTACAACGGCCGAAACGTTGAGATAAACATGGCGACAAAAATGGGGACAATAGTCCGAATAATATAAATAGTGTACAATATCTTGAATATACGTACTCTCATGATAAACACACCTTTGCAGACTTCAATTCTAGAATGAAAATGTATCTAGGCTTTTACAAGAAATTAACATTTTCTCTTGTGTTGACTTGGTCAGTTTAGCACATTTTAGTGCAAATTGTACTATATATTTGTTAATTTGCTTGTATTCACATTACTTTTCACAATCTCTAACACTGCTTACTAAGTGTAGGTGAATGCATTCAGCTCTGTACATTTCATCTATTACTGCATTCCCTCGACCGGTTGCCAGCTGAGACTATAAAACACAGTCTGTCCTGCTATTTGTTCATAGTTGGAGGTTTTGAATTCATAGTTTTCCTTTCTCCTAGACTGGTTGTCAGCCAAGTCCGTATAATCCGGGCTGTCTTGTAATTTACTCATAGATGGGGAGAAAAGCGATGGATTCATACCTTTCCCAAGGGTATTATCACGTCAACGAATGTAATGAACTCTGAATTCAAAACTACCAACTATAGGTAAACAGTAGGGTAGTCTGGGGTCTATAGCCATGATTGGTAACTAGACTAGGATAAGGAAAAGATTGAATTCAATTTCGGATTTCTGAAGTCCCTAAGACAGTCTGATGTCATATTTCTTTCTGTCAACTTCTGTTACAATGCCGGTGCCAAGTTGTATTGAGCTCTGTCTTTCTCTTGGACCACATCAGTGGTGTGGAGAGGAAAGATATGCTGCATGGGAAACTGCCACACTCCCATAAAAAAACCACCCTGCTCCGTCCTTCGCTTTTCAGGTGCAGATCCATGGTCTCTCAAGACCAACGATTGTCAATAATAATAATTGCTAATTTAGATTGTATTCACATTTCTTTACTTCCTCGCAATCTCTAACACTATATTTGTTTTGTGTAGGTGAATATGTAGTGATTACTACTATCTTTGCCACGCCTACATTTTTCTCAACTGTGATTGGTCAAATAATATGTACTAAATATCACAGGACAATTTACTGATCGCATTCACCACACTGAATTTTTCCTACCGTTAACTCACAAACATGTTTTTGTTATAAAATCACCGATTGGTTAATTTTTCATCCAATCAGATATTTTTCGTGTTCTTTCAAAATTTATCCCGCTTTCGTGCTGGGAGCCACCAATAGTAATATAAGTTCGGATTCATTCCCAAATCAAACAGTAGAGTTGAAACCAGTAGAGTTGAAGACAGTTGAAGACATTAGAACTCAACTACTCACACGCGTCTACACAGATTATTCATTCTACTCACTCCGCACACACACACACACACACACACACACACACACACACACACACACACACACACACACACACACAGAACTTGAATATCATTCACCACCAGTTCTTTGTGAACAAACCAAGTTGCAACAACTCTGTTAGTTACAAACACACAACTGTACGATCTTCTGAATACACATCCTATTTTAACACAGAACTCTGAACATTATATTTAGAAAACTTGTTTATTTAAATATCACCATATTCAACTAACAGATAAAGGGAAACTATTTTTTTTCGCCTTATTCATACATTACAAAAATTATCTTGTATTTGTTGTTGATTTTAATATATATTTTATCGTTGAAACACAAATCGGTTTTCCATTGTTTTTCCTTGATTTAAAAAAAATGTATAAATGTTAAATGCTCTTCAACACGCAGCCACATTAATCTTTTCAACAAAACACCATTTACATTGGTAACCCCAACACTTAAGAATGCAGCATTTACAAATACATTCATCTCCCTCCATTTAAACTGCTACTACATTCCCAAGAGAGTGCCTTGACACGCATTATAGTAAGTAGCCAAGTATAAAAGTATCATGCCAGACTTTCAAATCTGATAACCTGAATTCAAAATCTGTTTGATTTTCCAATAATTACTACTAGAAAGACTCACGGTTTTCCTATTTTAATTTTCAGTTAATGATTGAATAAGCTCATGTTGAGTTCTATGATAATAAATTATTCGTAGAAATTCCCCTATCACATCATTAAATATTTGAGGGTAAAAACTTTAACAAAATATTGCAATAAAAATCATAAATATGAATGCTGGTCATTATTTTAAGAAGTAAGGGGATACAAATGAAAAGATTTGAAATTGACAACTTTTTCCATTTTAGTGAAACAGCTGTTAAACACTTCATTCATTCATTCATTCATTCATTCAAGTGTATGTCTTTTGTTTTTCCATGCAATCAAAATGGAACAGCCCGTTATTTAGAAGACATTAAACACTTATTTCTTTCTTTCTTTCTTTCTTTCTTTCTTTCTTTTTCTTTCCAATGTATGTCTTTTGCTTTTCCATGAAATCAAAATGGAACAACCCATTATTTAGGAGACATTAAACACTTCTTTCTTTCTTTCATTCATTCATTCATTCAAATCTATGTCTTGTTTTTCCATGCAATGAAAATGGAATAGTCCATTATTTATGAGGTATTGACAGGAGACATAAAACCCTTCTATCTTCACTTTCTTTCTAGCAAAATCCCCGTTTTATAAACATTTCCCTTAACAATTTAAAAATAATTCAGCAGTGCATGTTATTTTATGATAACTGGATTTCTGGTGATTGTCTTATTCAGTTTCTGTCGTTCAATACTGTACGTTTGAAAATACCGCTTGATCGCAGTCGCCATCGTTTTTCGGCCTTTTGGCTAAGATCAGAGTGTAGTATCTGTTCTTATCAGCTTAATCTGATTCTCTCTATCCCCACTTCTATCTTCTCTTCTTTCATTTTCTCACTGAAAACAAGTAATATATTACTTTCCCCTCTTTCCATGCAATCTAAATGGAATAGTCCATTATTTATGAGGTACTGACAGGGTATAATGGTCGTGCAAATTAACAAAATGAGGTACAAACACGATTATCATAGGACTATCAGCATGGCCCGGCGTTGCCCGTGCTTGATTCAAAAATCGTACGACTCATACAGCAATCGCTATCACTTGACTTAAAATATTTTTGCCCTTCCTTGCCTTTAAAGGAGTGCCCTTTGCCGAGCTGATGTTGCTACATGCCTTACTTCTTGCCTATCTCACACTGCGAATTTTTTCTAAGCTCTATACTAAACATTAAATCTGTTACGAAAAAAGAACTAAACAAAATGAACACAAAACGATCAGCTTTAAAAAAGGACTCGTAACTGGAAAAACCGAATGAAAAAAGAATGTTAACAATAAATACTTTTTCACACCCAACCCAGTTCTGCGGAATCAGAATCAACGTTGAGTTTAAGCAAGCGAATGAGCCAATTGGAGTAAAGTGCCATGCAGATTTAAATTTTTCCCACTTGTGACGAATGCAGCTATCCATTTTTTTTGCATGCTAGTTAACATTCGTGTCAGTCAGCTGTTGGCTCTCACGCTGGCCAGTAGAATCTTCCTGCCTATTCGTGGAAGCCAGCTATTGGCTCTCACTCTGGTCAGTACAAAATGGCCACAAACTACATCAAAACTGCTGTAGAAGCATGAAAGATCGATTATTTCCACTATCGATGGGAGTTGGGAAATGCAATGTCGGTCTTGGCCTTCCCTCTAACTTGGAGCATGTGCATATAAATTTTGGTGCAAATCCGTCGAAAATTGCGGCCGTGAATTCGTTAAACACACACACACACACACACACACACACACACACACACACACACACACACACACACACACACATCCTGCCTTTTATAGATAGATATTTCTAACTGCAGACATGATGTCTCCAACATTTTTATCATACGTACCTTCTTGATAAGTCAGATTAAACCCTCCACTGCAGGATTTTTTTCCGGAATTCAGATATAGCGTAACTTCGTTGGTATTGGAGATGAAAACTTCATTTTCTGTTGACGCGGTTAGCTTCGCAGCAAGAACATTTCCATAATGGATTTTAAGGAAAGTGTCATTGTTGTTTGGAAGTTTCAATTCGGATAGCTAAATAAAAAGCAAATTTCCAATATTAATATTTAAGCAAAAGCTAAGTACAAAATTTACAAAAATTGAAATATTTAGGAAATGTTTCAGCAGATGACAGAAAATGCGAAATCGAAATCCAATTGAAGAAACAGGAAAATTTCATTAGAAACAAAGAAAGGAGTACTGAGCTGTTATGTAATATCAGTCCTCCAATATGGCAGTTAATCTTGAAGCAACAAAAATGTGGTTCTACAGAAAGATGCTTGAAAAATTTGACACTTATAGGACATATTGAAGAAAAGATGGATAGGGGAGAGTAGTGTATAACTTACCTACCTTGGTAAATGGTTGGCAGAACAAGGATAAAGGGAGATGGTAAAAAGATAAACTTTATTAAGTGCTACAAAAGACAAGAAATTGTGGAGAGCCATAACCACTTATGTTCTGAAGGGACATGGCACATACAAGAAGAAAGATTGTGTAAATGAATGGCAAAACAGGATTTAGGAGAGATATCAAAAAGAGAAAATTTACTAAGAGCTGCAAAGGACGGGAAATTGTGGAGGCCATGGTCGGCAACGCCCTGAAATAACACGACACATAGGAGATTTTTGTGTAAATGGATGGCAGAACAGGGTTTAGGAGAGATAAAAAATAGAAAATTTATCAAGAACTACAAAGGACAGGAAATTGTGGAGAGCCGTGATCGCTTATGTTCTGAATGGACATGGCACATAGAACAACTTTGTATAAATAGTTAGCAGAACAGGATTTAGGAGAGATAACAAAAAGACAAATGTTTTTTTTTTTTTTTTTTTTTTAAGCATTTCGCCCCAAGCAAGGCGGGGAGCCACTAGGACGCAAGGGGTTACAGAAAATAGGAAGATCAGATAGGAGTGATAGAAGAAAGGATGAGGGTAGTAGATAGATTAAGGCAACTGGAGATGTCGATTGACATTACACTTGAATAGCTGGAGATTATAACTCTCAGGGAAACAGGAGAAGGGAAGAGAGTTCCACAGGCGAGAGGTGCGAGACATGAAGCTATTAGAGTAGTAGAGACGGCTACATTTATGAGTTTCGACAGTGAAGGGGTGAGAGCGGGATGCCAGCCTCGTAGGGCGCTTGAACTCATAAAGTTTGGGAACCAGCGAATGCAGTTCTTCGGAGCAATTTCCATGAAAGTATTTGTAGAACAGACAGAGGGAGGCGACGGTGCGTCTGTGAGAAAGTGACTGTAGACGAGACGCCAGGGTAGGGCCAACCATATTACATATCCGCCTCTGGAGCCTATCAAGAACCCCGAGGCAAACAGAAGGGGCGCCAGACCATATATGGCAGCAATACTCCATGCAAGGGCGAATTGTGGATTTGTATATCTGGAGGATCGACTCAGGGAAGAAAAACTTCCTAGCACGGCTCAGGGAGCCAACTTTCCTCGCAGTGGACGAGGCAATTGACTCGATGTATTTATTCCACCTCAGGTCAGCAGTCAACGTGAGACCGAGAAGCCGCAGAGAGTTGCTCTCGGGAAGTTGAGCGTCAGACATTATAATGGAGGGAAGGGAAGGCTCTCTGTGGTGATTAATAGAGAGCAGTTTAGTCTTCGAAGCGTTGAAGTTGACCAGCCAAATCTTGCCCCAGTTCACAATCGATTGGAGGTCCTTTTCGAGGCGCACGGCAAGGTGAGTTTTGTCAGCGAGACTGGATTTGTTTTTGAGGCAGGAATAAATTGTGGTGTCATCCGTAGATGCCGACTTGAGAAGATACGGCGTCAGGAAGGTCATTTATATAGATAAGGAATAGAGTGGGGCCTAGGATGGAGCCTTGAGGAACTCCTGCGTTCGTGGGGTAGGAACTGGAGGAGAATCCGTTGTGAACGACCTTCAATTCACGGTTTGACAGGAATGATTGTATTACGTTATATAATTGACCCGTAATGCCATAACCCTGGATCTTGCGGAGAAGGCCGGCGTGCCAAACCCTATCAAATGCTTTGGAGATATCTAGTGCCACGGCTCGGGCTTCCCCGTTATTTTGGAGAGTTCGGTAGACTGTTTCCGTGATGGCTGTGAGCACATCGACTGTAGATCTGGCAAAGCGGAAACCATATTGCTTGTCTGAGAGCAGATTATTGGATGTGAGGTGGTTAACCACCCCGGTATTGATTAGAGCTTCGAAGATTTTGCCGAAGAGGGGAAGGAGACTGATAGGACGGTAGTTGGAAGGGTCAGAGGGGTCGCCGGAGTTCTTGAAGACAGGAACAATCGAAGAGGACTTCCAGCAGTCAGGAAAACAAGATTCCTTGAGGCAGTAGTTGTATAGTTTCGAAAGGGCGGGCGCCAGTTCAGGCGCGCATTTCTTTAAGACAATGGCTGGTATCCCATCTCCACCACTCGCCTTGTTGAGATCTAAATTGGAGATAACGCCCAGTACCAAGGTTGGGGTTATGTTTAACCCACTCAATATGGCCTCAGTTCTAAGAGGAAAGTCGGGTATGGGTACACCAGAAGAGTCGAGCGTCGAGTTGGATGAAAATTTCCGAGCAAAGCATTCAGCCTTGTCGGTAGAGGAGGTCAAGACTTCGAACTGGTTGAATAGAGGAGGTATAGAAGGTTTGCACTTATTCAATACACTCTTGCAGAGACGCCAATAATCTTTGGAGCCAAATTTGCGAGATGCAATACGTTCCTTCATTCGAGCCGCAAATAGTGACTTAGCATCATTTAGGACACGCTTACAATCGTTACGGGCGGCGGCAAAGAGACGTCTATTGCAGTCAGACATGTCGCTACGGTATAGGTGGAAGTAGTGGTTCCTATGGGCGATGGCGGCTGAGCAAGCAGCCGAAAACCAGGGGCAGGAGCGCGTCTTAACCCTATATTTCCTTGATGGGATGAAAGCGTCGATTCCAGCTTTAACCCAGGAAGAGACCTCAGAAGCACATTCTTGGACGGGGAGCTTAAAGACTCCATCCCAGGGGACATCGCGGAGGAAATCACGGAACGCGTCCCAGTCAGTTATTAAGAGATACAAAAGACAGGGAATTGTGGAGGGCTATGATCGCTCATGATCTGAATAAACATGGCGCATAGAAGAAGTTTTTGTAAATTGATAGCAGATCAGGGTTTAGGTGAGATAGAAAAAAAGACAAACTTTACTAAGAGTTTCAAAGGACAGGAAATTGTGGAGAGCCATGATCGCTTTTGTTCTGAATGGACATGGCACATAGAAGAACTTTGTATAAATAGTTAGCAGAACAGGATTTAGGAGAGATAGCAAAAAGACAAATGTTATTAAGAGATATAAAGGTCAGGAAATTGTAGAGAGCCATGATCGCTTATGTTCTGAAGGGACATGGCACATAGAAGAAGTTTGTGAAAATTGATAGCAGATCAGGGTTTAGGTGAGATAGTAAAAAAGACAAACTTTACTAAGAGCTACAAAGGACAAGAAATTGTGGAGAGCCATGACCACTTATGTTCTGAAGGGACATGGTACATAGAAGATGAAAAAAACCAAAGAAAGTTGTGTAGTGATCGTCGAAACTACATAATAAACTCATTAATTTAAGAGGATCTTTGCACACTACTACTCATGTCAATTAGAGCTGAACCCTGATGATATATATGCAATGTCATACTAAAAATCACGCATTAAGTATCTATTGATATTTGTCACTGACCTCATGAAATTCTCACAGTCCCTTAAATTGATGCAAAGACAACACATTGAAAAAGAAAAAAAATCTATTTATTATTCATTTGATTTAGTCTCTATCATTTCCACCAACTTCATTTTGCCACTCATTTTTGTCTCAATATTAGTGATTTTAGAATTTCCACATTAGGGACATCTCTTGACTCAAACACAAATTAGCAACCACAACTACTACAAATTGGTAACTCAGATAAGAAAGTCAAAATATCGACCCTAATGTTTTATGTACAGTGATTTTCATTCATCCTATAAGGGGAGAGAGAAAGTTTTATTCTCCGACTTTTCCTCCATTACAGGCATTATTATATCCATAATATAATAACACCGTAATTCTCAGATAGAATGGCTGAAAGGAAAAGGAATGACAAACATGCTTTGTTGTCAGAGAGACATTTATACTGCTTTGATATACATAAAACTATATGTACATATATATACACGTTTTTCACTCGAGGAATTATACACACACACACACACACACACACACACACACACACACATATATATATATATATATATATATATATATATATATATATATATATATATATATCGAGCAGAGTGTAAAGAGAAATAAAAATGAAGGGACTTGCATATAATATGGAGATACTTCTGTATCTGGAGAAGACATGTTTAGGACTCCAGATTCAAACGGGTTGGATTCATATTCCACGAAAGGGAAACGGTGAGTCTTGGGTTTCCCAAACTGAGCATTGTGAGCTGGATATATTCCCAAAGGGAAATTGCACAATAGATTTGTAAGCAGCTGGGGAGGCAGATTTAGACAGTATGGACGGGCAGGCTAAAGAAAGCAACTAATCGGTTTGGCTGCTGTAAACAAACTGAATGACTGGCCACTCTCGTGATGTATGAAATGACGCCACTAAGTGATCCATGTGACTTGTCTTCCCCAAAGATATCTTATGTATTGACATCTCTTCACTCAAACACAAAATGGCAACAACAACAACGACTACTACAAATTGGCGACCCAGATAAGAAAGCTAAAATATCGACCGTAATTTTTTTCTATACAGTGATATACTAAATGTGATGGATATATAGTTCAGCGGCTTGTCGTATAAAAATTTTCTACTTTGGTTTTATTCTGAGTTTATATATGACTGGAAAGTGGTCACTCCTACAGTCAGCATTTAGATATGTTTTACAGCATAAAAATGCCTTTCTGAATCCCTTATAGATAGTTATATAGTAGATTTGGTTTTCCGTTTCTTCTCCTGGGCTTCTCTTTGTCCATAAGTGTCTTGAGTGTTTTTGAAACTAGGTGTTGACTATTA